CCATGCTCTGCATCACAAAGGTGGATATTCTCTGAAATGAAAGCAGCAAATAAACCAGAAAGATAGGGAGATAGTTTACATCACAATTTTAAAACGTCCTTACACCATAAATTTAAAAATTGCAACTACTTTTATTTTTTTTTTAGATTCTTTAAATCTTTGGGAATTCTATATATAGCTGCTTGGTCTAACCACTAGACTCTACATTTCTCAGTAATTCTAATTTTAATTTTTGTGATGTCATCCTAAAATTGTGATGTAAACTATCTCCCCATCTTTCTGGTTTATTTGCTGCTTTCATTTCAGAGAATATCCACCTTTGTGATGCAGAGCATGGCTTTTTTACAGTCTTTTTCCCCTGTGCCAGGATCACAGGTATTTGTAAACGGAGATCTCAAACTTCATCAGCGGCAACCCCTTCACCATGCTGGGCTGGATAGCAGATACAATGTGAGTGATGTCCTCCCCATCTCACTTTCTTCAATCGGTTCTGTTGTCCTTTGCCTATTTTTTCTTCCGCAACTGCTGTGGCTGAAGTCATACATTATATTCAGTGAATTCTGCTTAAGAAATTTGTGTTGCTGAGCAAGTATGAAAATTCTATAAAATCTAAGGAGATGTCAGAAAATAAAGGCCATATGGAGGCAAGTAACAGCAGAAGCTGTGATCCTGTTTGAAATTTTGACCTGAGATTTTTTTCAGAATGTTTATTGATAATAACCGTTGTTTTGTGTACTACCTGTCCTCGTTTAGTGATCACAATTGGGACTGGTTGTTAAGCGAAGCAGTAGCTAAGTGAAACTGAGTATGATTATAATCTTACTTCAGCTTTCCTTTTTTTAAATGTTAATTTCAAAGATTAAAAATTGTAGGGGAAAAAGTATTGTTAGATGCAAAATTAAAAAGAAAGCAAACCCATAAAAACATATAATCTTCCTCCTTAAAAAAATGTTATTTGGATGCATACAGTATTTGGTTTTATGAATATTGTTAGTATATGTTTGGTCAATTAGCAATTTACAGAAAAATTTTAAGCAATTAAGAAAGGCTTTGTGTTTATATGAAACCAAGTTTTCTTTTTACCCAATAGCGTATAAGAATACAAGTTAATCCAACATAGAAATCTGTATGGTATCATAACACTTGGTATATGCTTACAAGTATTCATCACGCGTTCTGATGTAAGTTAACAATTAGTAAGATCCTGTGTCCAATGCAAAATTCTCTCACTATGACAGGTATCTGTGATCAATAGTACAAGTCCTTTTGCCCAAGACTATGATTTTGTGAACATCGTTGAAACATATCAGAAGAGGAATGGTGAGTTTTCCCAGAGGTTGTAGGTTTTCATACGCAAAACATTTCTGTCCTTTCTCAGTTCACTTGGCTTAATATTAATTACAATTTTTTCCTTTACAGTTACAACAGTTTTGGCTGGCCCCAGTCCCATTTGGGTGACTGGAAGATCACAAGATCAACCATTTGTGATCCAGGCCTTCATCCATTATCCGATGGAATTGATTGTATATCCTTTGGCTACCAGTCGGTGACAGTTGTTGGTTTTTTTGAATGATGGTTTATGGCACTTGGCCTCAGTCACTAATACAGCTGTGGCCGTTGTATCAAGACTTGTAGCTTGTCTAACATTAGGTAGCTGTGTTAGAAAAATGCCACGTAACTCAAACAGGATGCGTCTCTAGAGAATGTTTCTAGCATTTTTAAAAAAAAGTTTAGAGGTTTTACGGTACATTTTATATTGGTCTGGGGGAAAGGAGACCTTGGGGGTTCTCATTTCTTGACTGTCCCTCGCCACTCTTGGGGGGAGGCGGGATGTTTCCCAGTTCACACAACTAGCCAAAAGCATCGGAAGTGCACACTCAGATTCCAAATACTCCTTGACTTTTTAGTACATATCAGCCAGGCTTCTGGGAGATTATGAAGTTTGCCTGGATACAGTACATTAGCATCCTCCTGATTTTTTTGTGGATTTTTGAAAGAATAAAAATCTTCCTTCTTCAAAATCAAGTGCTGAACACAGTGCCGGTGTCTCCGCTTCCCCCGCCGCAGTCCTATAAAGAGCACAAATCCTGACCAAGCCTGCACAGAGGAAGAACTTTGCTCTCAGTGGCCTCCACTGCTTTGCATTTGGAAGATGAGGCTTTCCACAGGATGGGTTTATGTATTATTTTTGCAAAGTTTATCAGTATAGATTTTCTTTCCTGTCCTATTTTCAGAAATCTGTTTGTTATTATGGTCTATCAGATGGCATAACTATAATACAGTGACAAGATGAACAATTTAATGAAAGTTATACAAATGAGTTTTATTGTAAGTACATAACTGAATCCCAATCTTGATGGCAAAGTCCTTTAGAAGGAATTAACTAGAAACAAAAAGAGAGCTCCACCCTTGATTTTCTCTATAGGAATACTGAAATAAAGAATGCCTTTTTCCTTTCTGTTTGCAAAATCCTAAGGAGAAAATTAAGGGAATAAGGGTGATCATCCGCTAGGAGCTGCTGTTGTTCCAGAAAGCTTGATTTCTTTCACCTGGCCTGCAGGTCCAATGAACCATGTCAGATAGATGGATAGGGAGGGAAACCTTTACAGGCAAATGAAAGGGTTACTCCAAAGCAAGTTCCAATTGGGTGCACCCTGCTTGGAGCAGACCTTTTATGCAATTTTGAAAGGCGTTCATTGTCAATGGGAAGACATAACATCATTGACCAGTCATTAAGAGCGATATCACGCATACATATTGAGTGGGCATAGTAACTCAGTTTAAAGGTTACAAGGTACGTTACAGGGTAGGTTGAGACCTTTTTCTTATCAATCTTATCAGTAACAACATTCCTAACATGGTACCAGGTCATCATTCTAGGGAACCAAGGATTCCTGAACAGGAAGGCAGATGGTTTTCAACTCAGTGTTATTTCTGCCTGTAAAAACCTAACTCTGGATATATATGCATAATGATGCGATTTCTCAGTGGGTCGCCCATGAGGCCAATGATGAAGGAAGACTCGGAGGCAGGTCTNTTCCTGCGCGGGGTCGGAGGCCGCGTGGCTGCCTGGCAGCCGTCCGTGGTGGGCTTTGCTGAAGCTGCCTCTGCCCCGTCGAGGGAGGCGGGTTAAGAGTTTGGGTCTGCCCGTGTTTCTTCCTCTCTGTCTTCCAGGCTCGGGAGGAAGACTCCGACCAAGATGGAGCGATGGACCTGCTGCGTTTCCGGCTGGAGCTTCCGCTGCTCCCCTCTGAACGGGTGGTGGGGATTCAGCTCCTGCTGACTTTCTCCTACGAGTTGCACGTGAGTGCGCTCAAGTGTCCCCAGCGGCCCTTTAGGCAGGAGGACCCTGGTCGTCCTTTGAAGCAGAAGGGCGTTTCTGTCCCGAGACGGGCAGAAAAACTGCTTTGCTGACGAGGAACCTGTTGCACTTTTTAGTGCATCTAAATTAGCATTAAACATTAGCGAATCTGCTTTTAGAAACATGTATTGATGTGTGGTATTGTTGATTATCAGAGGCTCTGGGTAACTAATGATCATTTCTCTCCTCCAAAGCAGAGCGATAAAGCAGAGCCAGTTTGGTCTAGTGGTGAAGGCTAGAAGCCAGGAGACGCTGAGTTCTAGTCCTGACATAGGCACAAAAGCTGGCTGGGTGACTTTGGGCTGGTCACTGTCTCGGCCCAACTTGCCTAATAGGGTATTTCTTATGGAGAAAATAGGAGGAGGAAGGAGTATTGTGTGTATTGGCTGCCTGGAGTTAATTATAAGCATTATAAAGGTGGGATATAAATAAAATTATGTAGAGTGCAGGTCTGGAGAGAAACTGAGCAGGTAGCTTAATAGTTACAGTACTCTGGATACTCAGTTTGAGAAAAGACTAGATATACATAACAGTGCATAATCTAGGAAAAATGAACACAGGAGCATTTTTCACAGAATACTGAAACGTTTTCGTGTAATAAAATTGAATAGTGGAAAAATTAGGATGGATAAATGGAACCCTATTGATTGGTGCCAATTTGGGTGGTTTAAAAGGCAATTGCATTTATAGAGGGCATTGTTTCCTATGTATAATGCAGTAGTGGGTGTGGTATACACAGTATATCTAAATGCTGTTTCTGAGGAAATGTGCAGTTCTGTTCATGTCCTATGTTGAGTTTGCCTTGTGATTGGTATTGAAATAGAAATGTTGTGGATTGTACATCTTTTAAAACGTCCTTACACCATAAATTTAAAAATTGCAACTACTTTTATTTTTTTTTTAGATTCTTTAAATCTTTGGGAATTCTATATATAGCTGCTTGGTCTAACCACTAGACTCTACATTTCCTCAGAAACAGCATTTAGATATTCTGTGTATCCCACTCCCACTACTGCATTATACATAG